TTTTTACCTCTATATTTAAGGCTATATATTTGAAGTTTACTAATTTAGTTTCAAGCAAGAAAATAAGAAAAGAGATGCAAAAATGGTGCTCTTGCGAAATGGCAAGGACCAAACTAATTGAAATAACATAATCAAAGCCCTCTTTTATGATTTAATTATTTACGATATTCTAAAATATTCAATTTATTGTTCGAAACATGAAATTTCCACAAACCTCCTCAATCCTAACATTTTTTATCGTATGAACCGAAGATCATCCATATGATATAAACCAGCCTGAAATTTCCGTACGATATGACATGGGCTCTTGGCCCAATAGACATTCTTCATCCTTTTAGTTTTTTTGTTACAAACATTTTTTGGTAAAAGCTCATCTTCAACTTTAAGTTTAATGTTCTTGCAATTATTCCTACTGGATATTCCATTGTTGGGCCACTTTACTTCGTATTTGGGCTATTTCTCTTTGGGTCTTTCATTAAAATCTCGTTCCTTTTATAATCCAATTTTAACAACATTGGATAAATTATTTTGGATTGCAATCGTTTTATGTAAAAAATCCAGCAAAACAGTCTTTGATTCCATTTATTTTGTCAAAATTATAAAAAAAATTGTATGAAAAATATGGAATAAATCTATTTTTGGAAACTTGAGTTAATTTTTGGCAATATAATAATTTTAACAAGTTTGACACTAGGCATTAGGCCCTTGCGGATAATTAAGAGACTCCTGCTCAACTTGTTTTTCCTCAAAAAGCCCACGGTGGAGCCACGGAAATTTTAAGATGAAGTGTGCCTTTGATTTTTAGTTTATCAAAAATTTATTTGATAAAAGTTCATTTGATAAAAATCAGTTTAGTGAAAGTCAGTTGTTGTAATAAAATTTGTGTTTGGATATATTTTTTCAAAAGTCAATTTGATACATTGAAAGTTGTTTGGTTTGTAATAGTGAAATGTGCTTTTGAGTATATAATTACCAAAAAAGACATTAATTTATAATGATTTATAATTTTTATTATACAAATGTAATATATTTAAAATATTTAAAAAATATAATAAAGATTTTAAATAACACAAATTTTGATCTATAATGCTAAAAATTTGATCTCTAGTTATTTGTATTTTTTAATTTGTAATTTTAAAAGATGTAATAAAGATTTGTAATTTTTAATATACATTAATGCTAAAAATTAATATGATTAATTATTTAATTTATAATACTAAAAAAATTGATACCTAATTATTATTATTAAAATAATAATTATATTTTTAATGAATTAACTATTTTTTAAATAAAAGAATAAGAGATTAAACTTAGGGTAGTATGGTCAAATAACATCCTATTTTTCAAATCCACTTTTCAAAAGTTTCAAATAGTTACGTTTCAGAAATCCACTTTCAGCTATTGTTTGAATGTACTCTCAGGATGTGCTTTCCTGCGAAATATTCTACCTAAACAACTTTTAACTTTCTGAAAGTAAAATTTTGCTTTCTAAACGTGAAACAGAAAAAAACCAAACGGACCCGAAATTGTGATTGTGGTTTTAAGAAGTACACGTCATCAATTCAGAGACACAAAAAACTTCTTAATATATAGCTTTAAGCCTGATTTTCTTCTTCTTATGGAGACGATGCTTCCTTTACAATCTGTCTGATCTCTTGCTATTGCCGAAAGAGAAGATTAAAAAACAAAGCATTTATCATACATGATGAGATTGGTTTGTTTAGAAAGATGCATTTTTCCCATCAGAGCACATTCCAAAATAATGCTTTGTATTCCTTCCGCATTGGAAACTAGGAAGCCTCAAATATCTCTCTTGTCTAATCTCTGAGTCAACTTGTTTAGTTAAAAAAATATAAAGTACTTTTTTTTTATTTAGATATTAAAAAAATATAAGACATTTTTAATTTTTTAATATAAACTTAATAGTTATTTTAAAAAAATATCTTTAATAAATAAACTACACAATCCTTAACATTTGAATAAAAAACTTCATTAAATAAGGGAAGATATAAAAAGATAGTTTTAGTTTACAAATAATTATTTAATTTATTGAAAAGTGTGATGCAATTAGAAATAATTTATATATGTTTATTGTAAAAATAATTTATATTTTTTGAACTAAGGAGTACATTGATCATATTCCGTTTCCATGTTTAATATAAAAAAAAAAAGAAAAATTAAGATGGGGCATAACTACACAAGCACGTAACCTTTTCCCCCTATTTGCACTCTGGACCCTGTGAAAGCTTTTAGCAGTTGTAGGTGCTCCTTTACCTGAATTTTCTTTTTGGCAATAATGTGATTGGGATATTGTAATCACCGTTCTCAATGTCTTGTCACAAGTCATATTATCTTATCAAATAAATTCAGACGTATGAGAATTGGGTTTAAAATGAAGTTTTACAGTTCACTCAATAAAAATTAATTAATTGGAGTTTAGTTTCAAGGTTATATGATGCTCTTTTGAAATGCGATGGCCAAACTAATTGAATCAGCATAATCAAACCCTCTTTGTGCTAATTCAATTAATCAAAACCCTCTTTCATTTCCACAAAAGAAAACCCTCTTTTATGATTTAATTATTTATGATACTCTAAAATATTAAATTTAATGTTCGAAACATAAGATTTCGATAAACCTTGTCAATCCTGACAATTTTTTTTTTAAATAAGAACCAAAGATCATCCATATAATATAAACCAGGCTGAAACTTCCGTACAATATAACATGGGCTGTTGGACCAATACAAATTCTTCAGCTTATGTTTAATAATCTTTAATTTTTCATACTGGATATTCTATTGTTCAGCTATTATTTTCGTATTTGGGCTATTTCTATTTGGGCCATTTTTGAAATCTCTTTTCTTTTTATAATCCACTTTTTACAATATTACATTCACTTTCATACTATATAGTAATTTCATTTTTGCTATTGAACTTTCTTTGAATAGTTAAAAAAAGCATAAATAAAATACAACCAAACATATAATAAAGAATCATTATGAATCTTCTCCGTTGCTTCTGGTCGACATTTTTTTATTAGCTTAAAAAAAAAAAGCTATGTTTTTCTGGCCTTTTTTGTCATGAAGTGTGGAAAATGGAAAGTGCAATGCTTTTTCACTGTCGGCTTCTTCGTCAGCATCTATTCTTGATCTTTCCCTCATTGTTGCTCTTTTTTTTAATTTCTAGATAAAAAACCTGACCAAAACGATGTCTTCCCAAAATTGTGCCAAAAAAAAAACAGTTAAAACAATAATTTTAAAAGGATTATAGGTATTATAAAAATTACAAATATCTTTTCTTCTTTAAAGAGCACGCGCGAATGACACTCTGGGACCGCAAATCAATCTCAATAAAGCATCAAAGCAGGGAGAAAGAAGAAGGACAGTAAAGTACTAGAAGATTAAATTAATGATAATGGATTTGATAAAATTTTTAAAGAATAGGTGATAAATATCAATTCCGGCCATTACAAATAAGAAATTTGATTGCAAATTTCAGAATTTCATTGAGAACTTAAACATTTTAAATTGAAACTTTAAAATTTGTGATTATTTAAATTAATATATACAACTAATCAATTCAGACAATAGAATCAATTGGATATGGCCAGCCTTATAATGGGGGAACGAAAGGGAAAAGAAACTGAATCTTCCAAGAACTTATAACAGAGAAAGAAGGAAATTAATGAAGTAAGCGTTTCACGCAAGAAGAGAAGCAGCATCCAGCTATAGCTTGATTAGGGCTGGGAAGAGGAGACTCAGTGAGAGTGAGTCCACGCTTTAAACGACATTGTGTGGTGAATGCAATTTAGTGGGGCTTGAACTTGAACCAACTGTGTTTTTGCCTTTCATCATCTCTTTGGATGACATTATTTTTTTCTGGGTGTTTGTGATGTGATCCCCAGAAGATATAGTTTATTCAAAATTAGGGTCTTAATTTGGACATGACTCTGAGTGGCGATGGGAAAGCCAAGTCCAAATAGATTAAAGATTCTCATCTCTTCATGACTTTTACATAAAGATGCCTCTTATTTATATATGCTCACACCCAATCCAAGTAACCAACGCTTCTTCATCACTCTTCTCTGTTTTCTCTGGTCCTCTTGACGCTGAAACAAACCATTTCGTCCAGCAGCTTCAAGTTCTAACAACTCAGCCATGGCTTCTAATTCACTGATGTAAGTATTCCAATTTGCTTTTGATCTAACTTCGGACTCTACTGCATTAATGCGTTATATAGATTATATTTGGTTTTTTTACATTATTCATTTTATTAATCATCTTCATTCGCATTTTCCTAATCAAATTTCGCTTTTGGAACTTTCAAAAGCATGAAAATGAAACTCTTTCACACTTCCCTCCCTTGACCTAGGAGTACCGTATCTCACAGCTATATGAATGCATGGGTGGAAATAGGCAACGACAAACTAGATTTTGTGGTTAAATGGGTCTCAACCTATATGTAAGTCAAATATTTGAACTTGACCTAAAGTTTATATAAATTTTTTTTTCACGCCTTGGACCTAAGAGAAAAAATAAATTGGCTTATGGAATCCCTCATCAACTTGTTTTGCCATTCAAGAGAAAAAAATAAAATGTCTTCAGAAAAATGGTGCTACATGATGATACAGCATTCAATGGTTCAAGTCTAGTTTCTAAATGCGGGATCTTTGTATAGTTGAACCTACATGTTTGTACACAAGGCTCAGATCTGATAATAGCTTGATGAACACAAAGCTTCACGAGGACACAGACAAGTTCTCAACTGTATAACTCTTAAAAAGCAGAGAGCTTGGCAAAAGAAAGTATGCGGGGACCAACACTAAATGAAGCAGAAACGCCAGAAACAGGAGGGACCAATGTATCTATAACTAACCCACTTTGAAAGGGTACTATCTAATTATTCAGCCTGCAGATTCCATTTCTCTCTTGGAAAACACAACCAATGGACTAGTGTAGGCCCCACTCTCCCAAAAAAAAAAAAATCCCGAACTTTAAGTTTGTAAACTAACTTATATATATATATATATATATATACAGAGAGAGAGAGAGAGAGAGAGAGAGAGAGAGTACGTGTTTAATTTAATTAATGATTTTTCTCACATATCAGAATTTAGTGAAAATTCCCACTAACTAATTTGAGAAAGAAGAGGAGGAAAAACCCCTTGGTATGGTTTGGTTTTAGCATTTGAAGAAGGTGAATCTGCAAGTTCCTTTATAGATCTGTCTGTAATGGATGGAGTTGAAGCAGGGTTTGGGCTGCTTGAACTAAGATAAGGAAGAGTACTTTGAGTCCCCACGTCTCTGGTCTTTCCCGCTTTCCTTTTCTCTGTACAAAGACACACAGTAAGAACTAAGAAATAGTGATATGCAAACTTAATCTGTTTTTACCAGTGAAAGTATATATCATGAAAAGTTCGTCATGTTCTATCACCTTCTCTAAAAAACGTGGAGAAAAAAAGTTGAATCTATCTCAAAGTAGTGAATGACTAAATTAATAAAGTGAGTAAGTGAATATATGCAGTTATGAACCTGAAACTAGAAATCGAAGAACTTCATTTTCATCTGCATGTGTGTCGGTTGATGATGTCTTTGAGGATTTCTTGTAGAGTAAGCTGTAGGATTATCAAAGATGGTAACAACTCTGTTTGATGATTTACGAAATGATCTTCCACTGCTGATCAGAGCTTTTGAAGGCACGCACTCCAATGGTGCCTCCCCTGAAATAGGGTTACATATATACTTTTCTGCTTCATTGCACTTTGAATGCAAAGCTAACCCATCTGGAGATAAGCACTCCCAACTGTTATAGCATGACCTTGCTTGCAATGCTGCATTATTATTATTGTCATTCCAAGTCAGTCGAATCACTTATTTTGCTTCATGTAAACCTTCCCTTTCAACATAATGTTCATATCACACATATTCTATAAGACTAAAACACACATCTATAGGTGCTAATCTAGAACCCTACAAGCTTTTTCACCTAACTAGTACATGAAACATAATGGACTAAGCATATTGACGGGTCATATTCTGTATATGTACTTTTTGATTATGAGTGTGATTCTGTATTCATTTTCTGTTACCTCTGATAGCAGTATTGAAAGAATAGGTGGATGGGTCTATCCCATCTGCAAACCAGGAAAAAAAAAAACTGTGAGAAGAAAAACTGATGAACTTCATAGAAAGGGGAAATAAATAATAGTTTTTAAGGGGTATTCAGGTGAAGAAGCAGCACTAGAGAAGGTGATGTTTGGTGATCTAAAAGATCTAGTTTCTTCATTAAAGCTTCTGATATATGACGCAGAGTATCTTCTGGATTTAGTCCTGTCTCCATTTCTTCGTGCCTTCAATTCCCATTCTCTCAAGCTGAACTCTGAACCATCACTTGTCTTTGAGCTGTAAGGAGATGCTTCCATGGCTGAGGCCGTCAGTGATATTGAAGGTCTGTCTACTGTACTGAAATTTGCAGAAGTTTGACAGTAAATGGAAGCAGAGACATAACCAGAACGAGGGTTTAAAGGATGAGGAAGAAGAAGCTAGTGGTGGAAACTGAAAGTGGATTTTTTTTTTTTTTCAGTACAGAGACTGGGCGTTGTCCCTATCTTCTCTGTATCTGAGTCTCTGTCTCTTCCGAAGTTTGCCCTTTTGCTTTCTCGATCTTTTAGGTGCACAGGCATGGTTCGTTGTTTTAACATATACTCCCTCCCTTTAAAAAAAAAAAATAAAATAAAATATTTTTAATAAAATCTCATTTCAATAAAATAATTATTTATTTTTAAATGAATTTTATTTTTTTATATTTATTTTTATTTAATAAAATATTTTACTCTAAAATAAATATAAAATATTTTATTTAATAGATACACTTTTTTTTTATTATACCTTAAAAAATTAAAATTATTTTATATTTTTTAACATTCAATCTTTTAAAAAATATCTTATATTTTTAAATGGATGGAGTATGATATAAACTTTTTAAATGAAAATATATTTAATATTTTTCTTCAATCATTTTATCGTTGTTCTATTTAGCACGCAATCTCTTAAAATTATTTTAGAATAATTCACGTGCTAGTATTTCAAAAAATAATTAAAAAATTACTACATAATAATGATGATAAAATCATAAATAAAAATATAATAAAGACCTCACAAAAAGATATCTACTTTTTGTGAGCGTGTTAAATGTGCTTTAAAAATTTATTTATCATGTTAATAAAAAAAATAAGAAGATCATAGTTAAATCCTACAAGATCAGAATGATGGGAACTTTTTGAGAGAATCGCACCAAAGACTCGTGGAATGGAAAAAATTGCACACAAAACTCAATATATTTTAAATTGTTTTTGTAGACTCATAGGCTCCAAAATGCAAATATGTTTCTTTGTGAAAATATATATTTGCCCCAAAGGTACAAGTTTTACAAGAGTAAGTATAACACAATGTTTGCAAAGAGCATGATAATGTCCATAAATAAACTATATAATGTTTGTTTATCATACATAATTTGTATGGTTAAATTGAAGAATAACATTCATGTTGTGTACAATACAATGTGTTAGGTGCAATTTCGAGAGTCTTAGGTGCAATATAATTCTTACATAAACAAAATGTAACATTTGGTTTGCATAAACAATACAATATTGGCAAAGAATATGGCAATGTTCATACATAAATAATAAAATATTTTTTTATTATATATAGTTTATGTGGTTAAGGATAAATGCATTTTTTTTTAACAAAGAAACATATTTGCATTTGAAACATTTGGTTTGCATAAGCAATCCAAAATATGTATAATAAATATGTATAATCTTATGTGCTATTTTTTTTTCCATTCTAAGAGTCTTAGATGCAATTCTTCCAGACTTTTTTATCATAATATTATTTATAAATAATATAAAAATATATGAACTAAATTTCACAAAGTATAATATTATAATACTTTTTTTACCCCATAATATCGTGGATTCGAAAACACGTATTTTAAAAAATATTTTTGGAAGAGCATTTTTTTTTTATTTTGGCTCTCCATGCATACGCTTGAATTTGCATTTAGTATAAAATAGTTTTGATTGTTCGTAGAATATAATTACATGGTGTAATTTATATAACCATCCTTATTTGATAAGATAAAGTTTGTTATTGATAGTGTAAGGAATCTAATATAAATTTGTGCCATGCAAAAGCCAGACCATCATGCATCGTTAAAAAATTAGTTAGGCTAGACTTTGGTGCCCCCAGTTTGTCATGGGACAAAAGAAAAGCATATTTTTATTGGAAAAAGGGGTGGAGCAGTTAAAGAAAGAAAAAGCCAAAAATTTTGTTTAAACTTTGTTGATTCGAGTTCCATTAATTAGATGCAATGCATAGACATTTCCTTGGACGGTTCTATTTATTTAATATTAATATGACACGTTGGATTCATCTAACTCTATTTTTGAGACAAAAATCTCCCAAAAGTCTAAGTAAATCCAGTGTGTCCTCTGAGCTCTAAAGAGTTTCAATTCAGACATTGCAGTTTCGTAGGTTTTCAATTTGTCTAAAATTTAACAGAGTGCAGAATTAAATTTAAAAAAATCTTATTCAAGTTTATAGGAATTTAAGTACTTTGTCGTCATTGTGTCCCTGTTGATTCCTTACAAAAAATTATAATAAGAATTAAAAACTACAGTATTAATTATTTCTCATCTTAAATTATAAGGTACTGTCATACAAAATCTCTTATATTAATAAATTAATAAATATTATTAAATACACTTAATAATTTTATTTTTTAAAAATAAAAATATAAACTTTTAAAAATACTTTTCATTTAATATATTAAAAATAGAGAATGATGAAAATTAAATAAATAGATAAAAATAATATTTGAATAACTCAATTTAATAAACCTTAACTTTTTTAAAGTGTTTTGTATTATAGAATGTTAATTTTTTTCAAAAATATTTTATAGTTTGGGACCAAAAAAAAAATAATATCAATCACTTTTTTACATATTACACCTAGTATCTTGCATGTAACTTGTCTGACTCCAGACAAATAGATTTAATAATATTTAAAAGAAAAAAATGTAATTTTGAGTCATAACATTTTACTCATATTTTGTTATAAGTCTCTATATTTTTTTTCAATATTCCAAGTCCCTGTATTTTTATTTTTTGGTGTTCTAATTTCCTTTATGAATAAAGTATAGGAACCTCAAAGGGATTTATTTAATGCGATTATATTTTTGGTGATCACTTTTGGGACTCTGATGACAAGTTCTTTCACCAAATATTTAATGCGATTATATTTTTAAGACCAGAACTTAAAACCTCTTATGAAGAATTTATAACTTTCTAGTCTTTTTTTTTTTTGCCAATATTCTCTTGTCAATTGAACCAAGGGCTCAAGAGTAGAACAATATCAATCATTATTAATTAATAAATGGATCCAGCAAGCATCAGAATTCCACACAACGCTGTGGATCAAGAAAAGGGGGAAGGAGAAATCCAAAAATTCAACTCATAAAAACTACAATCTAACCTACCCAGAAAAATATGATTTGGCTCATTCATTATTAGGGTTCTTGCTGGTTAGTACAAAGCAAGGGACCATCAAGTTATTGGGTCACCATTGTGTATCACAATTTGTGGCTATCAAATATATATATAGATAGATATATATATATATATAGAGAGAGAGAGAGAGAGATAGAGAGATGAGTCAGTGTCTTGCAGTTATGCACGGAAAAGAAAATGGGGCATTTGCTTTTCTTTTCTTCTTTAGTGACAAATTAGTCTTTGGATTATCTGAATTTGATATATTATAATTTTTTAAATGTAATTTTTTTTATCTATAAGATTTGAATTCTTGAGTTTGTTTGAAAAAAATTATTGAGCCTCTTTTATTATTTGATCCAATAAATATTGATGAAGCTACTTTCATGTGTGCCTCATGTTTCAATTGATGTATCCTCAACATCCCCACCAAATCAGGGACCTTTCTTTCACACCAAACACGTAATTCACAAACACTTATCTCTCACTTCTCCCATCACATGCAATCCCATCTTTTTCAAAGTCAATTATTTCTCTCGGGAACTCAGCAAAGGAAGATTCCTACTGCCTCAATCATGAATCCATCATCCTGTCTCAAAAAAATTATAGTTTTGTTCATGTATCTAATAAACCAGCGTGGTTATTGATTTTATTTTAGTAGGATCTTGCTTTTTTCTTGATAGTAAACACTGAATATCCAAAATTGACAGTTCCGACTAATTCAAATTTAAGCTAAGTCAGGCTTTAAATAAAGATAACTTTCTCAAACACATCATTTCTATTCTCATTATTTCAATGATCAAACTCATAAACTAATGGTTAAGGGACTAAACCAACATGTCTTGGTTAGGAACTTGTTTCTTTCTTTCTTTTTCCCCCTCATGGATATATCTGGTGTGGTTTACATGATCTATCCTAGAGATTAATAGAATCAAACTTGATTTATAAGATTAGGAGACTGGTCTCAATAGTCTTGTACTGACTTAGCTTTTTTTCTCTCTATAAGAGGCTCATTTCATCCTGATAAACTCAATTAAGATAATAAAAATAGAAAAAAATGACAATAAAATCCCTTCAATTTATGTAAATAATAATTTGATTCTTTAAAATGCTATAATTTCACCAAAGTCTGTAGGAATCTCTGTGTCAATAAATTTTAAATTAAAAAATTTTTTTACCCTTATTGATAAGTTGTGATTTCTTATTTAATTATTGTGATTCTTTAAATAAAAGTTGTTATTCTTTAAACAAATGTTGTAAATGAGATTTTTTATTTTGAAAACTTATTTTTCAATAATAGAAATTACACTTGACAAGTTGGTGTTCCTTAAATAAAAGTTGTGATTATGACTTATTTTTTAATAACAAAAATTACATTTGACAAATTGTGATTTATTATCCAACTTTTATGATTTACATAACAAAAGATATTATTCTTTAAACAAAAGTTGTGACTGGGGCTTGTTATTTTTAATAAAATTAAAATTTATTGACACAGAAGTCCCTAAGAACTTCAATGAAATTATGACATTTCAAGAGATCAAATTGTCATTTATATAATCCGGAGGGATTCTATTATCATTTTTCCATAAAAATACTTATAATTATAAGAAATCCATAACAATCTCTAATAACAATAATAAATATTTTAGTTACAATTTAAATGATTCGAATTCATAACTTCAACAATAATAACAACATGCAACAAACTTCTACAATACGTCTAATCTACATTACAACAACAATTTAATAGCAAATTAAATTAAAATTATATTAAATAGAAGGATGAAATATGAATGAAAGAATGACTACATTCAAACTTCAAATTATTTAAATATATTAAAAATAATTAAAATTATATTAAAATAATTTCATAGAATCAGATTGGATTAAATGGTTTGAGAGTTTGATCTCCTATTCTGTCCAATGTGAGAAGCTAGTCTGGTTTTTTTAGTCTTTCGAACTAATTTTTTTACTGGATCGAGTTTTTCTAAGTTGGACAAGATAATTGGACTTTTACACAATCCTAACTGCTAGTGTCCATTATCTTCACAAATCTTACTTATGAAAATGCCATGGCGGGAACTTTGTAATTTGCAAGTTGTCTTTGCAGCCCATATATTTATTAAAATGCCATTGTGTTCAATGTATTCACAATAATTATTTACGAAAATGCCATTGTTCTCAACTTCTTGCCTCTTCATTTCTCCTCTATTTCCTTTCAAGTAGCACCGTTTTTTTAACAAAACAAGGCCGGTTTATTAATCAATCAAAAAACAATTACACACGCTAACTCACCTATAAAGAAAAACAAAACAAAGCAGTAAACCTGAATACAACCTATAAGAAAAGAAATAAAACCAAAGTACAACCTATGAAATCAAAACCAAAAAAAAAAAAAACATGAAACAACCTACGAATAACAATTAAACCATTAACCAATGCCTTCCTTCAACTTTACATAAGTCCCTCGCTGAGAGCGTATGTCACTTACAATATTCAAAATAATTAAGTTAACATTAATATAGTACTAGTGACAATCTAGATCATTCTTCATTAAGGAGGCTAACTAATATTAATTAAAGTTAAACCAGTGAACTAAACTAATCAAGATTTGATTGATTTTAGCTAATTAAATTAAGTGAACAGATTTAATTAAAAACTTAATTAACTAACAAAATAGAAAAGGGAGTGTTTTAACCCTTTTTAAAGTGGAGTCCTAATAGTTGTGGGATGCTAGATTTCTTATTTACTCTTTTTAATTAGGCTTAAGTTAATTTTCATCTCTTGATCAAGTTAAACCCTTTACATAATTTTGTATAAGTATGCCTTCCTAACTAATTCAATTAACCAAGTCCTTACACAATTTTGTACAAGCACCTAATCAATTCCTCAGTTAAGTGCAAAGTGATCAAATTCTTCTTAGGTTTCCTTTATGTGCAGCTCAGCCTATGGTAATTCCAATACATAATTTTATATACAAGACATTTTATCAAATACCAACCAAACATATTTATGCATAGACAATGTAAGACACATTCAACACACATAACATATATATATATATATATATATATAAATTACATTGTATTGGAGAAAATTTTCAGCTACTATATAAAGGGGAATCAAGTGAAAAAACACTAAACCAACAAGTTAAATACTAATTTTGGTAAATAAAAGTAAGATATAGCAATACTCCTAATTTTAAGAATAATATTACATCAACATAGGTTTAATGGAAAGTGGTCATAACCCTTAACCTTCCTTGAGACACTTCAAGACTCCTCTAGCATCTTTCCCTCCTAGCACTTCTTGCACATTTAGCCTCTAGTTATCTTCGAACCTATTTGAATATAGTTCTTCCACCATGGCTGAACCATACTCATGAACACCTTAAGGATTTTGAAGGCAAACCAAAAAAATAAAGCTTAGGGTTTGAAAAGTAAGGTGGAAGAAGAAGAATGATGGAGTTGGATTAGGATTTTGATAGTTGGATCATGAGATATGGAGAAGAAAAGATGAGATGGAGATGAAGAACATGAAGAACAATAGAGAGAGAATGGAGAAGGGTGGGGGTTGAAAAAATAAGAGTGAATGAAAGGATGAATACTGAAAATAAAATTAGGATAATTTGATTCAAGTTTAGGGTGGAAGGACCTAACTCTAGTGTTAAGTAAATGGATAAAAAATAAGCTAAGGTAACTTTATTATTTACCATGGTAAAATGAATGAAAATTTAGATGAAAATGGTCTGAAAATAGAATCAAATAAAGCTAAATGTAATGGAAAATTAAGAAAGAGAGAGAATGGATTCAAAGTGTGGTATAATGTATGCAAGATTATGTAAGACTTGTACTTTCACTCTAAAACTCAAGTGTTTTGCTTTTTGACTCATCTATTATTCCAATCCAATGATTCTCATGTGCCAAATTCAAGGTGTGTAACCCAACACAAATAAATGTGACATACAAAATTAAAGTTTAAAGCACATGAATAATAATTGCATTTCTAATTAAAATTAATTTCTAAATATGTGGCATAATGTAATTAAATAATAAAAGCTAGTTATGAAAACATAAAAGAACCTCTGGGACGTGCCAAATAGCTTAAAAATTATAAGCCCACACATGCACAAAAATAACCTATTTTGAGTACAATAAAACAAGTTAACTCAAAATTTTAATTTTTCAAAATTGTCAACTTATGAAATGAATTACTCTTAATCTAAAAAGAGTTTGAAAAATCTAATTGGACCATTGTTCTTCTGGATTAAAAATGCATCTTGATTAATTTTTTTAAACATATTCTCAAAATTCTAATTTTATGACCAAAATGCTTCTAATGTATATAATCCTACACTTAGGTGATTTCTCACAATTAATGCAATAAGTGTGTAATATGGGTAAATATAACATGATTTTTGGTTAATAATAATAAAAAAATTGTGTAATAAATGTGGCTTATCACTCCTCTCTGCAGATTCAACCCCAAAACATCAATTAGAGGAGATAGTGGCTCAAAGAGCCATCCTTGTAGTGTAATGCCTCTCGTAACTTGAGCTATAATCTAGTTAGCAGCAATATTACCTTTACGAGAAACCAAAGCCAAACAACAATCACCATCAAACTTGGAAAGATCAAGACACTTCTACAAAATATCAGCATAATCCTATTCACAACCAACCAAATCTTCCATAGCCTTCATTTTTCTAGACAAAACCTAACAATCAATCTCAATTATTACGTTCCCCTCATAGGATAAATCCTTCACCAAGAGAGCTTCCAAAAGAGCCAAATCGTAACATCTTGAAAAATTAACCTCCTATTAATTAAACTAATTAAAGGTAGTTAAGTGAAGATTATATGGTATGTGGTTAGATAGGGCTAGTGAATGTTTTGGGTTGTGTTTTTAGCCCTAGATTTAGGTTTGAACTAAGGTCGAGTCACTTAGACATCAAAAAGGAAGAAAAATAAAAGAAGTTGTTTCTATACCATATGCCGTAGCGCATGTGTTGTGTTCCGTAGCACATTGAGCCAAAAAATCTAAAAGGAGCCTCTTAGTATGCTGCGGTATATGTAACATGCACCACGGCATATGTAACATCCTGATTTTTATATAATAAAGAAATTGTGGAATTTAGGTTTTGAGGAAAAAAATGATAATAATAGGAATTTATATTATTTGAGGTTATATTATGATTAGGTATTTAATTATGAATTTAAAAATTTAAATTTAAAACCACATAAGCAATATTTAGTTAAGATATAATACATAAATAATTTTTTTTATGTGTGTGTTAAAAAAAAAAGAGAAGGTAGAAGGAACAAAAAAAAGGGGGGGTGGAAGGTTGTTGTTTCTAAGTCCCACATTGGTTAGATGAGGGAAGAGAAGAGGTGCCTTCATGTATAAAAAGGAGGGGGTGTGTGCATTAGGAAGCATGAGAGGCTAAGATGCAATTTAGAGAAAATTGCAACTTTGGGCCCAAAGGTTTGAATAATTAAATTCAAACCTATAGTTTTTTTTAAATATAATTTTGGGACTCACAATCCCATTTTTATATTATTTTTCTCTCTTCCTCTCACGTTGCTCGGCGTTTTCTCACAAGGGGGGATTATTTTCTTTTTCTTCAGGTATGTTCTAACTTTCCTGTTTAGATTAGCATTTAAAAATTTATTTAATTACAAAATTAATTTTATAGTTATTTTCTAAATAATATTAGCTTTCTAGTGATATGATTATTTTGTAGGATAGAGTAAATATTTTGATTAGGATTTTTCTATAGGATAGTTAATCTGATGATATGATGGATTAAAAATATAGGTTAAAATTTTTAGGGATATAATAAATATTATAGAATATTTTCTTGAGGTTGAAACTCATGTTTAAGAATTTTTGAGTTAAAATCTAGATCTATATGGTTGAATTTATGTGGAATCTGAGACGTAGGGATAAACCTATGATTATTAAATATTTATTTAAGTATGAATAGGTATTTTTGAGGTTATAGAAAGGTGATTTGAGGCTTCAGGATAATTCTAAAATTTTTAATTTATTTTTGGATGAATTTTTAGAATGTAGAAGGATGAAATTGTGATACTAGAAGTGAATTGAGGATAAAAAAAAATAGTTCATTAGGGTACGAGAATTTTAGAAAAGAATTTGGGAAGTTAAATGAGGCATAAATCTTAAATTAGTGTTAATATGGACTATAGATTTAAGACTTTCTAACTCTTTAAATTAGAGTTATTTATTTTAATGTAAAATTAATATATAGTATTGTGAAATAATTATGTAGATTATATTGACAAAGATAGTGGTGAAAAAGGAGTTGTGAAGGGGAACTTGTTATTCAAGACACAAGGTAACCATTATTAATGTGTTGTGATGAGTGTGTTTGTGAATGGTTATGTGTTGTTTTGTTGTTTGGAAAAATTATGAATTATTAAAATAAATACTGTATATACTTGTTTGAAATTATTGCCAAGTGGGTTAAAAATTTATTTTTGTTTATCATGATGAGATATTATTGTTCGGATATATTCCTGTTTGGATATTTGAATGATGCATGACTTGTCAGGGTATTTTAATGTATGGTGTTAATGGGAATTTCTGTTCGGTTAATTATTACCACGTGGTAAGCCCTCATTGGACCCAATGAGTGGCGTGTCGCTTGGTCCAACTCACCTTTGGCCGGGTGATTTGGCGTCCGAGCATGGCGAAAGGAGGATATAAGGTGCAGTCATGCAAATTAAATACTTGTTCGGTTTGTTTGAAAGTATTGTTCGGTTAAATGTTTTGTGTGCCCACTTAGCAATCGCATGATTAGTTACATCCGCATGCATCATTACATATTAATTTTTGGTTACTGGGACTTTTAAGTCTCATTCCCCGTGGTTAATATTTTTACAGGAGCGAATCCGGCCGAGAAAGCACCAGAGGTGTAATTATGGTGTATGAGACACCATCTTTTACGTTGCCTCTTATTTTGGATTATACAATGTATCTTGTGCCAACTTAGGACATATCTTGTCTATGAAGCATGTAAACTCTAATCCTTTTTATTAAATGCATTTATATGTCCAAGAGGATTATGTCTGTCCCTTTTGATTCATGACCTAATTTAAATAACATGCTATGAGGATCATGTCTGTCCCTCATGGTTCAATTACTTTTTGAGATATTTTAAGACCTGTGGTATATTGTCTTGGATGTATCATGGTAGAAATTTTTCTACCATGATAATGGTTTTAATAATTTGCGAAAAATCGGTTTGTAAATTTGAGGGTGTTACATATTGGTATCAGAGCATATAGTCGGTTGGCAATATACATTGTTATGGTGCTTCTCATTGTATGGCCATGATATAGCTAGGCTAATTTTATTATTTATATCTTGTATCCTTTAGGAGGGGAGAGAAAATGCCTGTTACTCGTGGTAACTCAGGATTCCAACATGAGCACCTGCCACCGCCACTGCCAAATGAGGAGCCTGACTTGGCGGAATTAAGAATGCTTGTAAAAACATTAACAGACAAGGTTCAAGGATACGAACAAGAGTTGACGGAGCTAAAGAGGCAAAAGGTAACTGAAAATGGAGATAGGGCTCATGTTGAGAGTCATGTGGGGGAAGGCAGTTCCTCACATCCTGCCACTCTGAGAGATCATGAGTCTAGAAGGAAAGAAATTAGGCAGGAGGAACAGAGAGCCCCACCGACCATTACTGATGTGTGGGAAACTGTTAGGAAGTTTAACCCTCCTACGTTTGATGGTAACCTTAAACCATCCGTGGTAGAGGAATGGGTGAAGAGACTCGAATCCATCTTTCGAGTAGTCACATGCACCAGCAATCAAAAAGTACAAGTAGCATTAGTGCTCCTAGTGAAAGGAGCAAGAGATTGGTGGGAGACAGCAGGGCCCAGGGATGATTCTACACTCACCTGGGAGGAATTCAAGGAAAAATTATTTAGGCATTACTTTCCATCAGAGTTAAGGTCTGAGAAGGAAGCGGAATTCCATGCCTTTAAGCAAGGGAACCTCGATGAGGACACATTCATTGCTAAGTTTCAGGAGTTATCTAGATACTCCACGTACCTGCAGTATAGGGATGATTCCGAATGGAAGGCTAAGCGCTTATTGGAGAAGGCTAGACCAGAATTGAGGGAACAATTGGCTCATCTAGATATCCGAGATTATGATGAAATGTGCATAAAACTACAAGTAGTAGCTCGCAGTAAGAAGGAGGTTGAGAGAGAGAAGAGGGGTTATTCATATAGTAGACCCCCAACCTACCCTCGACCCACCGGAGGCATTATGAAGAAAAACCATCAGGGTTCGAGTAGCTCATGGAACCAAGGAAGGCAGAAGGGTCCATTTCAAAGGGGCCAAGGACAGAGGAGCTATCATAGTAGTTATTACGGGTCACAGAGGAGCCCAACAGTATCTACCCCTGCCCCGAGTACAGCGAGCTCTCAACAGTGCACTAAATGCGGGCGTCGTCATTTCGGACAGTGCTGGATCTGTTACATTTGTGGGAAACCCGGTCACATTGCAAAGTTTTGTGGGGACAACCAGGGCTCAAATATGAAGAACCCTTCCCAACATCCTACTGTCTCTGGTCGTGTGTTTGCTCTTACTCAGGACACCATGAACTCCCCAGATGCCATTAGAGGTAACATCAAAATCCTTCATCATGATATTGTTGCACTATTTGATTCGGGTGCTACACACTCTTTTATTTCTGAAACTTGTGTAAAGAACCTTGATTTGCCTGTGTGTATTTTACCTTTGATATGAATGTGTCTACTCCTGCGGGAGAATCTGTGAGGACCGCTAAGGCATGCCTTAACCTAGTAGTCGAGTTTAAAAATAGGAAAACAACTATGGACTTAATTATCCTACCACTGAGAGGTATGGATGTAATTGTGGGAATGAATTGGATGGCTGCAAATGGTGCTATCCTAGATTGTAGAGAGAGGAGTGTGTCTTTATCTTCTTTGTCGGTGACCCCAGTCGAGACTCAAGATCATGTTTTCTTGTCGGCGGCGCAAGTTGATAGATGTATGAAGAAGGGTTGCCAGGCCTACATGGTTTTCTTCTCTATCCAAGCTGAGATTGATGAAGGCGTGAAGAATATCCCAATTGTCAAAGAATTTGCGGATGTATTTCCAGACGAAGTCTCCGGTTTACCCCCAAAGCGCGAGGTAGAGTTCTCAATTGAATTGGTACCCGGTACAGGGCCAATTTCTAAGGCTCCTTATCGGATGTCCCCTTCAGAGTTAGCGGAACTGAAAAAGCAAATTGAAGAGCTACTTGAGAAGGGTTTCATCAGACCGAGTGTTTCACCTTGGGGATCTCCAGTCCTTTTTGTAAAGAAGAAGGACGGAAGCCTCCGATTGTGCATTGATTATAGACAATTGAACAAAGTAACCATCAAGAACAAATATCCACTTCCGAGAATCGATGATTTGCTGGATCAGCTTGTGGGATCCGCAGTTTTCTCAAAGATTGACTTAAGGTCAGGGTACCACCAATTGAGAGTGAGAGCAGAGGATATACCTAAGACAGCATTTCGGACGAGATATGGGCATTATGAATTCATGGTGATGCCGTTTGGACTTACGAATGCTCCTGCGGTATTCATGGATTACATGAATAGGATCTTTCGACCCTATTTAGATAAGTTTGTAGTAGTGTTTATTGATGACATTCTTATTTATTCAAAGGATGAGGAGGCTCATGGTGAACATTTAAGAATCGTCTTGCAAGTTTTGAGGGAACATAAGCTTTATGCCAAATTAAGCAAGTGTGAATTTTGGCTCCAAGAAGTAAAGTTTTTGGGCCATGTTGTGTCCAGAGATGGAGTTGCGGTGGATCCTAGCAAGATTGATGCAGTGATGAAGTGGGAACAGCCAAAATCTGTTACAGAGATACGAAGCTTTTTAGGTCTAGCAGGTTATTATCGTCGCTTTATTAAGGGATTTTCGCAAATTGCGATGCCCTTAACTAAGCTAACTAAGAAGGATGCCCCATTTATTTGGACTGACAAATGTGAAGCTGCTTTCCAAGAATTGAAAAAGAGGTTAACCACTACTCCAGTATTGACTATTCCTGACCCTGTGGTGCCGTACACTCTGTACACTGATGCTTCTTTAAAGGGTTTAGGATGTGTTTTGATGCAAAATGACCGAGTGGTTGCCTATTCCTCCAGACAGTTGAGACCACACGAGGAAAATTACCCTACTCATGATTTGGAGTTAGCTGCAGTTGTGTTTGCTCTAAGATATGGAGACACTACTTGTATGGATCTAAGTTTCAAATCTTCAGTGACCATAAGAGCCTGAAGTATTTATTTGATCAAAAAGAGCTTAATATGAGGCAGCGACGATGGATGGAATTTCTAAAGGATTATGACTTTGAATTACATTACCATCCGGGTAAGGCTAACGTGGTAGCTGATGCCTTAAGTAGAAAGACTATTCATGCTGCACATTTGATGGTTCATGAATATCATTTATGGAACAGTTTTCATGATGTTCCAGTAGATGTGATTGAACATCAAATGGCCGCACTCCAGGTAGCAGACTTTGAGAGCAAATTCTGGGAAGATCTCAGAGTCTCACAGCAAAGTGATGACTACTTAAGGAATATAAGGAAGGAGATAGTGGTAGGTAAGGCCCCAAATTTTACCATCTCTGAGGACACAGTGATGAAGTATAAAGGTAGAGTTTGTGTACCTAATGATCCAAGATTGAGGAATATCCTTTTAGAAGAAGCTCATAGGAGCAAATATACAATTCATCCCGGTATAACTAAAATGTACCATGATTTGAAGCGAGGTTGGTGGTGGCCAGGAATGAAGAAAGATGTAACTGAATTTGTTTCTAGATGTTTAACGTGTCAGAAGATAAAGATAGAACATCAGAAGCCAGCTGGAACACTGCAACCGTTAGATATTCCAAAGTGGAAATGGGATGATATTTCTATGGATTTCATCACTGGACTGCCAAGAACACCCTCGAGTAAGGATGCTATTTGGGTGATAGTAGACCGACTCACCAAATCAGCTCACTTTTTGGCGATCAAGTTTACCTCTACATTAGAGAAATTTGCTGAGATATACATTAAGGAGATAGTTAGACTTCATGGTATACCCTCTAGAATTGTGTCAGATCGTGACCCAAGGTTCACTTCAAACTTTTGGGGTGCGCTACAGAAGGCTATGGGTACCAGACTGAGTTTTAGCACCGCATACCACCCCCAAACAGATGGACAAACAGAGAGGACGATCCAGACTTTGGAGGACATGTTGAGAGCTTGTGCCATTGAACTACCAGGTAGTTGGGATAATCATTTGCCATTAGCTGAATTTGCTTATAATAACAGCTATCATTCTAGTATTGGGATGGCGCCTTATGAGGCCTTGTATGGAAGGAAGTGTAGATCGCCTTTATGTTGGACAGAATTAAGTGAGAGGAGTATCATTGGTCCAGAAATTGTAGAGCAAACCACCCAGAAGATTGCAATGATTAAGCAAAAATTGCTAACCGCTCAGAGCCGACAGAAGAGCTATGCTGATAAGAGGAGACGGCCGTTAGAGTTTGAAGTAGGAGATCATGTATTTTTGAAGGTTTCTCCAGTGACAGGCATTGGTAGATCCATTAAGGCAAAGAAATTGACACCTAGATTTATGGGCCCGTATGAGATCTTGGAGCGAATTGGATCTACTGCATATAGAGTTGCATTACCTCCACAGATTGCAGGTATCCATAATGTGTTCCACGTATCACAGTTGAAGAAGTACAACCCGGATCCCTCCCATGTTATTGAACCTGAAGAAGTAGAATTGAGGGAGAATTTGACCTTTAGATCCGAACCGGAGCGAATTGAGGACTTTAAGGACAAACAACTACGCAATAAGACCATCCGACTCGTGAAGGTGATTTGGAAGGGTGGAGCCCTAGGTGATGCTACTTGGGAGACCGAGGAGAGTATGAGGCGAGATTATCCACATTTATTTGCTTAGGTACATAGTTTCTAAGCTTATCTATTAAATTTTGAGGACAAAATTTCTAAAAGGAGGGGAGAATTGTAACATCCTGATTTTTATATAATAAAGAAATTGTGGAATTTAGGTTTTGAGGAAAAAAATGATAATAATAGGAATTTATATTATTTGAGGTTATATTATGATTAGGTATTTAATTATGAATTTAAAAATTTAAATTTAAAACCACATAAGCAATATTTAGTTAAGATATAATACATAAATAATTTTTTTTTATGTGTGTGTTAAAAAAAAAAAGAGAAGGTAGAAGGAACAAAAAAAAGGGGGGGTGGAAGGTTGTTGTTTCTAAGTCCCACATTGGTTAGATGAGGGAAGAGAAGAGGTGCCTTCATGTATAAAAAGGAGGGGGTGTGTGCATTAGGAAGCATGAGAGGCTAAGATGCAATTTAGAGAAAATTGCAACTTTGGGCCCAAAGGTTTGAATAATTAAATTCAAACCTATAGTTTTTTTTAATATAATTTTGGGACTCACAATCCCATTTTTATATTATTTTTCTCTCTTCCTCTCACGTTGCTCGGCGTTTTCTCACAAGGGGGGATTATTTTCTTTTTCTTCAGGTATGTTCTAACTTTCCTGTTTAGATTAGCATTTAAAAATTTATTTAATTACAAAATTAATTTTATAGTTATTTTCTAAATAATATTAGCTTTCTAGTGATATGATTATTTTGTAGGATAGAGTAAATATTTTGATTAGGATTTTTCTATAGGATAGTTAATCTGATGATATGATGGATTAAAAATATAGGTTAAAATTCTTAGGGATATAATAAATATTATAGAATATTTTCTTGAGGTTGAAACTCATGTTTAAGAATTTTTGAGTTAAAATCTAGATCTATATGGTTGAATTTATGTGGAATCTGAGACGTAGGGATAAACCTATGATTATTAAATATTTATTTAAGTATGAATAGGTATTTTTGAGGTTATAGAAAGGTGATTTGAGGCTTCAGGATAATTCTAAAATTTTTAATTTATTTTTGGATGAATTTTTAGAATGTAGAAGGATGAAATTGTGATACTAGAAGTGAATTGAGGATAAAAAAAAATAGTTCATTAGGGTACGAGAATTTTAGAAAAGAATTTGGGAAGTTAAATGAGGCATAAATCTTAAATTAGTGTTAATATGGACTATAGATTTAAGACTTTCTAACTCTTTAAATTAGAGTTATTTATTTTAATGTAAAATTAATATATAGTATTGTGAAATAATTATGTAGATTATATTGACAAAGATAGTGGTGAAAAAGGAGTTGTGAAGGGGAACTTGTTATTCAAGACACAAGGTAACCATTATTAATGTGTTGTGATGAGTGTGTTTGTGAATGGTTATGTGTTGTTTTGTTGTTTGGAAAAATTATGAATTATTAAAATAAATACTGTATATACTTGTTTGAAATTATTGCCAAGTGGGTTAAAAATTTATTTTTGTTTATCATGATGAGATATTATTGTTCGGATATATTCCTGTTTGGATATTTGAATGATGCATGACTTGTCAGGGTATTTTAATGTATGGTGTTAATGGGAATTTCTGTTCGGTTAATTATTACCACGTGGTAAGCCCTCATTGGACCCAATGAGTGGCGTGTCGCTTGGTCCAACTCACCTTTGGCCGGGTGATTTGGCGTCCGAGCATGGCGAAAGGAGGATATAAGGTGCAGTCATGCAAATTAAATACTTGTTCGGTTTGTTTGAAAGTATTGTTCGGTTAAATGTTTTGTGTGCCCACTTAGCAATCGCATGATTAGTTACATCCGCATGCATCATTACATATTAATTTTTGGTTACTGGGACTTTTAAGTCTCATTCCCCGTGGTTAATATTTTTACAGGAGCGAATCCGGCTGAGAAAGCACCAGAGGTGTAATTATGGTGTATGAGACACCATCTTTTACGTTGCCTCTTATTTTGGATTATACAATGTATCTTGTGCCAACTTAGGACATATCTTGTCTATGAAGCATGTAAACTCTAATCCTTTTTATTAAATGCATTTATATGTCCAAGAGGATTATGTCTGTCCCTTTTGATTCATGACCTAATTTAAATAACATGCTATGAGGATCATGTCTGTCCCTCATGGTTCAAATTACTTTTTGAGATATTTTAAGACCTGTGGTATATTGTCTTGGATGTATCATGGTAGAAATTTTTCTACCATGATAATGGTTTTAATAATTTGCGAAAAATCGGTTTGTAAATTTGAGGGTGTTACAGCATATGGCCCTATTTCTATAGAAATGAGATGCAAATCAGAGGGGAAAATCAGAAGAGTTAGAAGGAGAAAACATAAGAGTGCAACTTTCCTCTATTAGGGATTCAATTTTAAGAAGTTTGGAGGTGTTTTTAAGCCATCAAACCATAAGAATAAGTCTCCTAACCCATTCTTCTTCCTTCCCAACCTATTTTCTTAAGTTTTTGGTTAGGGTTTGTTGAAGGGAGTTGATTTTTGGTCCATGGTTCCAAACTTATTGACTCAAATGGAATTAATGGAAGTTGTTTAAAGTATTTAAACTTAATATTTATAAGATTACATGTTTTGGTTAGGTATTTATGGCTGAATTTTTCATAATAAACAAGGTTGCTGGAGTTGGTTAAATGCCATTAATGATAAGCTAGGAGGTTAATAAGGTTAGTTGGAGCTGATAGAAGCTAATAAATACAATGGGTAAGCTTGAATGTTAAGAATGAGAATTTTGGGGTATTTATAGAATTGAAATTTAAAGCTTGAAGAGTATAAATGGTGATAATGTTAAGTTTGGACATAATTAATTATAGATTAATTATTTATGCACTAGTTTGAGCTTGAGAGCACGCTTGTATACATTAACTTAAGGGGTAAATTTTTGACCTCTCAAAGGTTTGAAGTAATGGGGGAACCTTTCCAATGTAGTTATTTGTTAATTGATTTATGTTTGTTAAAAATGAAATGATGAATTTGAAAGATTGAATTTTATGAATAAAGATATGTGCAAAATATATGAACTATTCATTATCTTATTTTGGCTATAATTGCATGCATGATTTTGTAGACATGTACATAGCATAGGTATGGGTTAAAATATATGATTTGTACAATTGATGAGATGATAATGTGATTTTATCAGCATGTGAATCCTATATGTGTTAAATGAGAATTGGATATATGTTAAAGAAATGAGAAACTAAGTGGAGAGTGTATGCGAAAATACTAGTATTGCAAACACGAATAAAGTAATGTTGTAAAGTTAACAATGAGTATGTGAAATTGTGAAATGAGTGAGCATATTATATAGCATAATCTTTTTTAGCGAGAATTCGCTTAGGGAGAGAAGTAAATATAAATCCATATGATAATGGCTACCAATTGTTGGAATTGAAGGGTAAGCCTTATCCTACTATTTATTAAGGAATTGCCTTATTATTTGTTAAGGGACTTGAAACTAGCTAACTCCACCGGTTTGTCAATGAGATTAGCCTAGGATTTACAACACCTTGGGGATTCTAGAATGGGAAAAGCCGTGGTTTGAGAGTGAGTGTTGTGATATTTGACTCGATTACTCCTCACAATTAGTGCGCTTGGGTAGTCCTTTCATATGAATAGGGCCCTACTTGAGTACTAACCTATAATTTCATTCGAAAGGTATAAGGAGGATATAATGATGGCTAGATCATGCATTTATATCCAATGTGTCATATGATTGTTAAGTTTATAACTAGTAGAGATAATTCCTAATATCATTATCATTTGGTTGTCATTATGTGGCAATGTGTATTGTGATAAAATGTGAATAAGATGATGTGATTACTTGAGATAGCATGGACAAAAGTGAATTTTCTTGTAAAATCTCAATTTTTATGCCTATAAACATTGCACATACTTTGTTATTAATGAATAAACAACTGTATAAGATAAACGTACTTTGATTATTAAGTAGTTATGCTTACCCCTCTCTCAATATTTTACAGGCTCTAACTCTGGTATAAAAAGGGAAAAAACTTTGAAGATTTAGGAATTTTATTATTTCTATTGTAAAGCCTCCTAAACTTATTTCTTTCGTGTAATTAGAGAATATTACCAACTAAAGAACATTTTACATACACTTACACTAAAATGATAGTTGTGATTGATTGTTGTATTTTGAGCCCAAAAAAGTGTATATGTAAATTTGTATAAGGCTAAAATACTAGTACAACTATAAGGATGATATAGATATTGCTTATTTGCAAGATTATTGATTAAATGTAAATGATTGATCTCCCCTATTGCTTTTGATATTGAGAGGTTGAGGCGTGGAAATGAGTAATTATTGATGTTATGTGTATGTGACATGTTGCATAAGTAGTCCTAAGCCTATTGAGCACAATCTAGGAGTTAATTATGGCTTTGGCACTTATATGTGAGTTTTGGACACCCTTTGGTTGAGAAAATTGTAAACAATGGTAAAAATGTACTTTAATGTCCAACTCCTTTGTGAGAAATCTTTTGGGAGTAAAACTTATGCCAATAGTTAGAGTTTGAAAAGAACATTTTATAGACACCTAGATCGTCTCAATTAGACATCAAATGAAAAATGGGCTCATAAAAAATCCACCCTCATTATTGTTAAATCATAGTAGTAGATGCTATCAATCTGTGCAATGTACCACGGTGCATAACACAGTGAGGAGTGTACAATGGCGCATAGAGCTCAAGCTATAGCGCATCCCTATTTTCTGCAATGCTGTCTTATTTTAAATGAAAATGCAAATGTTTTAAACTATTTTAGTATCTCATGCTTCTGTATTTATATTTTTCTCTGATTCTAGTTTATAAAATGATATTTGAGTACTCTTTTAAGTTTGAAAAACTTGAGATCCCATATATGTAAATAATACAAACTTGGTAATATAATTAAATTAGCCTAATGATTACCTTAGTTTAAATGTTAATGGTGGATTAGTAAGATCGACTTTACAACTTGGTATTATTTTCTTAAGTTTTGAGAACTAATATGTAGTTTGTGTTTGAGAAATGTGGTTGATATATGATTGTGCATTGCATATAGAGTTGGCAATATCTCTTATTACACATATTGTTTTTCCCTTATCGTGCTAGTCTAAACTTTCTTTTCTTTTTGGGATTGCTTCCATCTTTAGGAGGGGAATATGGTACAAACAAGAGCAACTAATGTTGGTAATGTTCTGAAAAATGTGCAAAGACAAGAGCAAGGAGGTTTGGTGTTGGTGGGACAACAAGTAATACTAGCCGGGCAAGAACAATGAATGGTGAATAAAGAGTAACAGCATGAACATCAAAGGCCTTAACAGGGTAACAATAACGATGTTCTAGAAGAACTGAGGCAAATGATGAGGAGCATTTAGAGAAGGATGGATGAACATGATAAGATCCTTATGAAGAGACTTGGGGAGAGCAGCAAGACTGTAGAGAAGGCAAGTGGTGATTGTGAGGAAGTCCATGATGATATGTGCGGTGATGCACATGGGCACGAGGATGAGGAATGTTCAAGGATGCAAGTAGTGTCAACTGGAGAGTAAATATGGCACTTATTATGATATCCAAATGCAAAGCAATAGAAATGTGAGCAAACAATAAAAGTCCACATGTTTCGATCAACAAAAAAATAAAAGTCCACATGTTTGCTGGGTGGTCAACCAAAGGTCATGAATTAGGAAGGTGCAAACCAATTTTCTTCCTTTCAGTGTTGGTGCCTGTTTGAATAATGTTTTTAATCAACTTTAAAGGTTAAAATCATGGTTTTGTAAAAATATAAATAAACACTCTTGTTACTTATTAAAATCAATTATGTACCTAAAATCACATTTTTTAAAAAATATTCAAACATCGATTATGGATGCCAAAATTAATTTTGAATTCAAAACCATGTTTTTCTTTAAAATAGAAAAACACATTTATATATGTCAAAATCAATTAGGAACCCAAAAATATGATTTGTAAAATAATTTATATGATTTTTACATAAATTTGTTAGAAAAGTATAATTGAAAATATGAATTGAAAAGTAATTAATAGTAGCTTATGAGATAACCATGGTTTTAGGTTCATAATTGATTTTGACATGTATGATGGGTGTTTGGATATTTTTTAAAAAATATGATTTTGAATTCATAATTGATTTTAACATGTAATAAGGATGTTTTGATATATTTTGACAAAATGATAATTTTTCTTGATTTTCAATTCTAATTGAAATCAATTTTATACTACTTCGTTTTTATTTGTAAAAGAAACTATCACTTTTTATTTTTTTTTATATAAGCAAAATCACATATTTTAATAAGCATTTATTATACATTTTCTAAATCACCTTTCATAGTTTACATTAAAGAGAAATAATTAATGCATGCTCATGTTGATTGACATAAGGCATTTTAGTTTAATTTTTTTATTTTCAGACATAATTATTATGGTTAATTAACTTTCTTAAACTGTGTGATATATTTTTTCTCTCTTATATATAGAAACGATGAGAGTATCTCATAATATAATCAATTATATCCAAAATCAATTATATTAATTAATTTTTTTATAACAATTATATGCAATTGAAATCCAAACGTTTGTTTAGTGCCACACTCTTTTTTAGATTTCATTGGGACCTTTTTGCCACCTAATAGCATAATCAAGCTTCAATTTGGCTTGCTAAGAGGCCAATACATCAAAAACTCCTTGCTTGAATTTGGCATATCAACTCTAATTTTTGACATTCATGGCTTATGAAGATTTTTTTTCGTGTCACTTTTCAATTACAATTTTTTTAATAAAATTTCAGTTACAAATGTCCATTCTTTTTACTTTTGGATTATTATACATTAAATTTGTTTATTTTTATGGTTAAGGAACATTTTTGTTCTTGAACCATTTCTTGAGGAGCAATTTTACCTTTGTACTAATAAGTCAGAGAATTTTATTCTTGAATTATTTTTTAGAGAGCGTTAGGTACCTTGTAAAACAGCTCTTTTGCTACTAAAAAGAATAATTTA